CAGCTCCCAGCGTGATGGGCAGCGCCCGGAGGGGTGTCCTCGCCCACCCACCCCCCTGCACAGCGCTGCTGGTCCCGGCGGATTTGGAGCTGGTGCACGGCCGGTTTGAAGCCTTTGTGCTGCTTGTAACACCCAGGAGACACACGTCACGGGTTTGTGTCACCTGTGCGCTTGGGGACGAGCACACGCGGCGTTTTGTCACGGTTTAAGGGTCGGTGAAGGTGCCGTGTGGTACTTCTGGGAGGGCCCAGCAGATGGATGAAGTTGGGACTTCCCGAGGAGATGGGGACCGAGGTATGAGTCCCCCTTCCAGGGCTGAGTCCCCATCACTCCCCGCTGCAGCCGCACCGGGCCAGCCGGTTTTTGGAGCCAGCGGCTCTGCCCTGGTCCCACGCATGTGCCCCCCTCTGTGCATTTAACACGGACCCCGACAGGACAGCTGGAGCATCTGCCGCGCCAAGAGGATGGTAGAGACAGAACGCCCCGCCTGCCGTGCCCGGGCGCTGCTCCTGTCCAAGTGCACAAAGGGGTTTTAGCTGAAAGTTTATTTTTAATTTTTAAAAACTGTCCCGATGAAAGCGGCTGCTGGGGGTTACTGTTCGTCTCCACAGGAGAAAATCCCGTCAGGTCTTTCCAAGCCCCCTCTTCAGAGCTCGGGTTTGGTCCTCTGGCTTTTCTGGGCCGTGACGGGCAGGACGTCGGCGGCGCAGCGGAAGCTGAGGTTATCGGAGGCTGAGTCGGGCGTGTTCCCCATCCTGGGGAAAAAGAGACCCAGCGCTGGGGATCCTTCGTGCTTAACGCCTGCAGCCTTTATCGGGACCCTCTACCCTCTGCAACAGACCAGAAACATCTGCTTCCCTTTGAGAACTTCAAGGAAAGCGTTTCATTCTAACTACTTGATGGAAAATACAGGATTTGAGGAGGAATGAGGAATGTATTAGAGCAGGAAAATTTCCAGCGCTATTTGCAGGATGTTTTCCTAAACTGCTCAGAAAAACTGAGCAGCAACAAAGCTCTTCAAACCCCCTTCCACGTAAAACCAAGCCAGCAGAAATCCCTGCAAAGCAGCCCCACCTGGTAGTGACGCGAGCTCTGTGGTTTGCAGACCCGTCGGCGGTGTCGACCCACGAAGCCCCTCGCAGGACGCGCATCTGCTGAGCGCGCCGCCCCGCCGAGAGCCCTGCGCTCGGGTACTCCGAGGCCGTCCACTCCCAGGTGTTTCCCAGCAGGTCGTAGAGCCCTGAGACACGGAGGGTTTTGCATCAGGGGTACGGAAGGACGTTTGCAAGGGTGGGAGGGGGGCACAGTGTTCACAGCATCGCTGCGAGAGCTTGGCTTGGTGCTGAGACTGGGCATCAGGAGGTATTTTTCCGTATCACAAGCCAGCCCTGGTTCACCAATCTCTCACTTCAGTGTGTCTCGTTGTTTCCCATCTGTCGCGAGGGCATGGCATCCGCTGCCCTCAAAACAAGGCACTTGGGATTTTCAGGGAAATCACATGGAATCCCAAAATAACCAGCTCAGAATTCAAAGCAGGGGATGGTTTGGTGCATTGGAACCAGCCAACACCAGTAACAGCCACCAGTGCTCTCGCTGGGCTGGGTTATTCCAGCAAGACGCTGACATGACCCCCTGGCATATCAGACACCTTGCTACAATTCCAGGATTTTATAATTAGCGTTGGATGGAGACGAGGAAGCTGATGCTCCCCCGAAAGCAGGCTGGGGACGGCTGCTCCGTACCGTAGCTGTTCTGAGGAGGGAACGCCGCCACCGGCGAGACGCCGTGATACCCGTCCTCAGCCGTGTCCACCCTCGGGAACTCGCCCTGCGGGGACAAAGATCGCGGCGAGCAAAGACCCAGCACGCAGACTCCATGAGGTCTTGCTCATTGTGCTTAAATAATGGAATTTAATGTTGTAAATTACTCCTGTGCAGCATTTCTGGCTGAGAGAGATCTGCCATCTGAAGTTCTCCCAAGAAAACCCTTTTCAAACCAGTTTCCATCTGAATTGCTGGTTATGGATGATTTTTTGGAAGCACTGAAATCCTGGTTTCCCAGGGAAGCTGGGCTGAGCCTGCTCCCTGGAAGGGCGTTTCGGATAACCCCCAGCAGCAGAACTCCGGTGCCCTGCAGCAAGCCCAGGACCCCGCCGCCCGCCTGGGCAGCCACGCACGCTCGCTGCTCACATGAAACACCATCCTCCAAAGAGCTCAGAACAGGTGGGATGATTTTTAGGCTCTTACCTGCCACAGGTTTGTACGGTTGGGCTGGAACTTGTTTCCCCAGGGATACACCCTTTCTGCCAAGGAGGAAGAGACACCCGTTACCCCCACGTCCCTCCAGCCTATTTTTAACCAGGATTTTCTGACTGTTCGCTTCTGCTCGGCGCAGGACACCGAGACGGGTTCTATGAACCTTGTTGCAGACGCTGCCGAGGAGGCGAACAGTCAGAAAATCTTCCCGTTTACAAACCATCGCTGGTGCCAGGGAGTCCCACGCCCCCCCCGACCTTCCCCGTGGCTGCCTTATGCTGGGGGGGGTCACTCCTTGCCCCAAACCCACAAAATGGTGTTTTTAGGTGGTAGAAGGGCTTTGTTCACAAGACACATTAAGACCATAGATAAGCCACTTCTTCTTTCTATAATAATAATAATAATAACAATTCTTCCTATATTATTACT